TACATATACCAACAGTCAGGAACTCCAGAGTCTATGCACAGATGACGAGGCTTCCCTACACAATGTTTTTGTCCTTATTCTCTTCAACAGGGCAAGGTCTTATGGTCTGGGCTTCTTAAGGGGTAAATTGTCAGGCTTCACTCTGACTACCGTTCGATTATTGCAACTACATATTTTTGATTCCCCAGTACTCTCCAGATTCCTCACATCATTTTGGGTAATTGGTCCCAAATGACCATTCCATTTACCTAACAGGTAGACTCAGGTTACATGTTCTTTCTTTACACCTGTCTGTGACCTGGCTCTTATATGCCATGTATCCCCTTTTACCCGCAGGTTTATTTTATCATGGCTGCTGACCTACGGACATCACAGGTCAGATTGATTTGGGCTGTTTGTCCAATGAACACTTTCTTATTCTCTCTACATCCTCAGACCAGTTCTTCTTACCTAACACTCAGACAGACCTAACAGACAGGAAAGGGGTTCAGTCCTTTTCTCCAATTCATCTGCTCTTTCTTTCTCTGTGTATCCAGTCAGATTTCAATCTTCATTATGTTCAGTGAGGTCTTGAAGGTTTTATTGCCTGTACTTATACTTTTAAAAATACTAGACAACACTTTATTCTGGGTTCTCTTTGAAGGTGAGGTATCTTCTGTGAGTCACATCTGATCAGATTTCTCTTTTCTATGGCTTTAGCAGCCTGTTCGAATTGCTTGCTGGACCTCCCCAATACCTTTATCTGATATTATTTGCCTGATCTGGCAGTCTCTTCATCTGAGGGTTTTTACCTTCTTCCTGTAGCTATCTGCTATTTCTGCTAGATTATACAGAGGAGTGAGTATTTTTATTTCTACCTTTCAGGGTCCCTTACCTTGTTTTCACAGGATCCCACTCTGTGGTGAGTGTTTCCCAGACAGGTATGCTTTTATAAAACCAATTCTGCACTAGCAACCACTATTTCACTATAATTACTATCAATTGCAACAGGCTTTGTAGAAATGAGGTCTTCCATAAAACCACCTAGGAGCTGACCAGGTGGTATTACCATATTTGCTGGACTGCCACTCATGGACTATCATGAGTAAAACTAAAGGGGATCCTGCCCCTTCATGCCAATTATTTGATTGAATAAATTTGGATTGGTTTGCTTTTAAATATGTAGGGAACTTAGTTCACCTATTGCACTGTTTCCAGAGCACTGTTCCTCAGGACTCCCCGATGTGCATTACTCCCCAGATTATACTACTGGAACTAGAGAGTTCTTACCACACCCAGTTTCCAGTCACAGGAGTGATAGACAGAGGATTTTCCTCCAGAGTGTTAGAGTGATTTCTTCCACTCTTAGAGAAGAGAGCGAAGTTGGGGCCCTCCTACCCAAGCCCCTGGATGTTTTTTCCCAGATGTCCGTAGGAGCGGCACCAGCCTATGTGGGAGCCTACTCAGAATACTGGTTCAGATTTGATGCTTGGCTATCTGGTTGGGGTGTACATGGTTCTTCTTTTTGATCAATATTGGTTCAGTATAATGTTCATAGAAGGAGGGCCACTATCTTCTTATGATTCTGAATGTGGAGTGGTCCAATCCTGGGTCTTTAGTTGAGCACAGTTGTTCCACGTCCTCCCCATAATTCTGGGGGCAAGTGGAATGTACTTTGGTCACACTGTTGGGGAGTGAGGAGGAATGTTCATAATTCCGGACTGGATGAGTTTTGTTTCCCTTGGTTGAGTAAGGCATACACAATCCCACCATTCTGAGCCTGGGGTGTTGTCTTTTGGGCTTCTTCCGGTGGAGGAGGTTTGTCTGCTTCGGTGTTGCTTATTTTCTTATTTGTGATTCCGGTGATTTGAAATGCATCACTCTATGGCTACAGGTTGGGATCTAATCAGAAGTATATCTATATATAACATTGCAGTCCAATTGCCCTAGCCACCAACGTGGGATATAGGGACCAAGACCCCTTAATTCCAACCCCAAGTAGTGGAACCTTGGCTACTTGGTTGGGGCTGGCCTGTAGTGATGATCATTCATGTACAATTCCATCCTCGTTACAGGAACTAAGTTCAGGTTGAAGATCACACCTGTTCAGGATGTAGTGTGGTTCTCCCACTCAGGTACCACTCTTATCTTGGTACACCCATGATGAATGCAGTTGCTTTCTGTATAGATAATGTCCTCAATGGCCCCTGCACCTTCTCAATGTGGGATTCTAGCTATAAGTGGCAGCAGAGGGAAGTATGTATTGGAAGTTAAAATTTTCCTCCGCTGACACTCTCCCACCCTTCCTCCCCACTAAGAGCTGGTGTTAGAGACTGGGATGGTATCAATCTCAAAAAAGTGAAAAAATTATCTGTATGATATGCTTGTATACAGTACCAGGATAGAGGGCACATTGATGTAAGTGGAGAGTATTACAAGCCAATTATCACCAAGGGCAATTGAGTGGGGTATAAAAGACTGGAGCAAGCAAGAAAAAATCAGACTAATGCTTAGATGGGAAAAGAAGGAACCCTGATGGTCGAGTAATAGCTATATGTGTCAGCGGAGGTAAGTATTATTGGAAATACATTTTCAATTTAGGAAAATGTTAACTTTTGCATCAGACTGAGCTGTTACATACCCATCCTAAAAACAATAAATTTTCAGTGTCATCACAAGACTTACTAAACACCAAACAATATTGTAGTTCTGAGACATTGCTTTCTGCTGTAATGTCTTATCAGCTGTAGTTGTCAGTTGACTTATTGATTTGTATATTCAAAATCACTTGAAATTGTTGTTCTGATACATTTTGTTCCACCATGACTTTTTACTAGCTGTAGTTGTTGTGTGACTTGCTGATTTGCATATTCAAAATCACTTCCATATAACTTACTCAGTCCTGTATTACCCATCCAAGATAATGCCAACTTTAGCACTTTTGTGGCAGGCTCATGCAATTTGGGGAAATCAAGTTGAATTTCACTTTTACAACAATACATTTGGTAACTCTGAGATTTCTTAATGTATCCTCTCAAAATCTGGTAAAAATATTTTTAAAGATCACAAGTATTTTGTACTCAAATTATTATAATTAAGTGTTTTAACTAAAAAATGTGTTATTTTTCTATTATAGTTACTTGCATTCAAACTATTAACAAACTGAGTGCAAGATGATTTTCATTTCAAGTATAAAAGTACTTTTCTTTGTCCTATAGTTTTTATACTTCATTTGTATAATCTCTAGAACCTCCTAAAAAGATATCAAAAGTTTTTTAAGGTAAATGTTTATATTTTATTTTTCATTTTCTCTACAACATCGCTATTGCTAGCTATTTTCATTAATGTACAATGCAATGAAGTAATTAAAATTAGGAAATAGGAAACAAAATTACATACTTTTAAATTTTTTTGTAGAATATCTTTAAAGATTTTCCTTTTGTTAAATTTGTAATTTCAGGTTTTTCTTTTTCACTTATAGTTAATTTTTAATGTTGTATTTTCTTTTCTTGTCCTTTACCACTTATTATTCATCTCAACACAAGTTAACAGTGCCCTCAAAGTATATTACAGTTTCTTTGGGAGACATGCACAATCCTTCTGCAAAATTTTCTTTCAGCAAGTAATATCATAAACCTTGAGAATGGATGCAAAGTATGATGTAAATTTAAAAAATGTTTAAATCTTTTAACTATGCATCGTAAAACATAACTAATACATAATCAACTAAAATATAATAATAAGACCTAAATACAATTTAAACTATATCTCTAACTATAACATATTTAGATAAGAAACAACTGTAAGTGACTTGATCCAACAGTTCTACAGTCAATTACAAGTAATCTGTGATGACAACTGTTCACCAATGTTAAAATAACCATTGTTAGATTATTATGTAAAATGAGCTCTTACTAATGATTATACACATGTATATGTAGCATCTACATGTAGGCTATAAAGCTCAAACAAATGTGTTGAAGTTGGCTGTGGCACCTGTCAGGGTTGAAAAAATGTATTATTTATTCAGAGAACTTTGAAATCACTGACTCAAAAGGTTATGTCAGCATCTTATTGTCTAGATGTACCTCTACTCAGTTATCATTGTATTATTGAAGATACAGAATGCCAAAGTAGAGAATTTTCATAGCTCGTTGGTCACGTGACAATACATCTGAAGTTTTAAGTAGTGTTTTTAAGGTTTATTTTGAAATAAAGGACTTAAAACTTGAATAAAATAAAACTTTGAATCGTAACATACATTGATAGTAAAGGTGTTTAATTAAATTTTGAATGTAACACCATGACTTGTGTAGAAAAGCATTTAAAGGGGCTCCTGTTGTTAAACGGTTAAGATATTTTAGTTTAGAGGATGTTTACACAAATGTTGTGACATGTTTGATTTACACATCTGATCTGTTTTTTTCAGTTCCATTGTTCAATATTTTTCTACCTTTCATACTTCATTAATTTTGATTTTCTGAGTATTTTATATTGAAGGTTTCTAATATTTTGAATTCAGATTTTTTGGTAATTTTAATGATATTCTTAGTGACAACTAATGAATTTTTGATTATGGTACTGTCCATTTCTTCCTCTTGTTTGTGTTGTAATGACTAAAAATTATACGAGTACATAATTAAGTAAAGTTCTAGTTGAGAGATTAATTTGTTAGTTCGTGTATCAATGATGCTGCACAAAAAGAAGAGTATTGAGTGAGTGTAATGTGATACAAATTATTTCCTTTTTAAATCTTGACTGTTTCATTTTAATACTTGTTAAATAATTGTGCTTTATCAGAAAAATACTTCAATTTGCATTAATCTCATAAGGCAAAAGATGTCAGATGATTTTAAAGTTTTATGAACTTCAAGTTTATAAACTAGAAGCTAAGTAAGTGTAATGATTATTGAAAGTTTGTTTCAAACCATAATTTAAAAATTATAAAATGAATAAACCAGATAAAGTGTAGTTAAATAATTGAAAAATAAGATAAAAATATTTAGCTTGTTTGATAACAGCTCGTGATTGTTCAAAAATTGACACGGTTTCCGAAGAACTGAAAGAAAATAACCACAATGCCAATGATTCTAATTCTCAGCAGAAAAATAATTTTCAAAGTAAAAAGGACTGTTTAATAGAAGCAAATCAGGTTTCTACAATGCACCAGCAGGCTAAAAAGGATAAAGAAGGGCTTATAAGTAATAGCAAACACAAAAATCCTGAAATGCTGGAAAATTTAGATATTGAACTTATCCATGCAACTCTTGAAAAGGCTCGTCGTGTTCGTCAGAAAGATGATGTCTTTGGTAATGAGGAAAAATCAAGGTACAGTGTATAATTTTAATTACTGAATCCATACTCATGTATATCTTTTATTTAGTGAAACTTCTTTTCTGAGTTAAAACATAGAAAAGACTACATACATGATAAAATTTAAACAGCCAAAGTGTCAAAAATTTGTAAATTTTCAACTTTTTTGAAAAGGGAACTAAAATGGTTTAAAAGAAGAAAAAAAAGGAATTAAATGCTAAAATTGTTATAACAAATAACTGAATTTTGATGGAAATTTCATTTACCTTTAGAGCTTTGCTACAAGTGAGCCAGTTATTCTACCAGTTATGATAAAGTGCTGAAGAACAAGTACTTTGTTAATTAATATAAAAATTATATTACATATTTATTAAAATACAGTATTAATTAAACCGTATTTGTGTATTTGAATATTAAAGATAAGTGGTAAAACTGTTATTGCTTGTACAGGTGGAAAAAAATAAATTTCTTTATTAAAATCAGGTAAAATTACCTCTGAAATACTAAAACACTTTTCTTCTTGAGTTGCTTTTGTGTTGTCAGTTCAACAGTTATGTGACTTGAAGTTCTCAATGCAATGCACAGCATATGTCAACTTACCCACAATTCTCTGCTCTTCCATTTTCTACAAGACAGATTTTCTTGTTACCAGTCATGCTGGTATTTTCTCTCACTACAAATTCTGAAGACAATGTTAACTACTGTTACTAGTGTTTCTGCTAATATTAGAAATTTTACAATTTCTTTGGAAGCCATACTCAAGTAGTCTGCCTCTAGTGAGCATGATGTATTGTTGGCTTATGTTGATGGTCAAATTTTTTAGGCTGTTATTTGTGTTTTAACTACTGGTTTCCCTGGTGGGTTTCATGTTCATGTGAGCATTCAAATGTAGAACATTTGTCTTTCTTTGTGAAGATGATGATGAAAAAAAAAGTATCTTATTTAAGCCTATTCACATTCATTGTGTGAAAAGCATCATTTGTTAGCTAGCCCTAATTCTGAAGAAATTTCTGCTGGGTTGTTGTTTCACCTTTTCTCGGGTATGGAACTGATTGTGTTGCCTGAGGGTTCTAATGTCAAATTGAGTGATTCAGTTCTTTATATTTTCTCTTGATTTTTAGGTTATTGTAAAATGCTTCTAGAAATCAGCAAAATGTTAACAGCCTTTTAGTACGATTATCTTCTTCAACTTATCTCACTTCTCAAACTTTTGATCCTCTACTGGGAGGATTTTCCATGTGATTTTTTGCTTTGACAAGTGCCAGTTTTGTGCATGCATAATGTAATTTGTTTCATTTGGAGACATGTTTCTTCAGAGTAATTATTAAATATCAGCTATTCTTGTTCTTACGAATCTTTTAGTCATGATCAAATTTATATCTTGTGGTCTTTCTTTGCTGCAGTTCTCATGGATGTAGTTTCTATTATTATGTGGCTATTATTCATTTGATAGATTCCTGGCATGCCTTCTTACAAACTAACAGATGACTTTGAAAAGCTTCTTCATTGCATTGTTTGTATGTTTGCAGGATTTTTTCATTTGCTCATTTGCATTTCTTTCGTTCAGAATAAGCATACCAGCAGGAGAGGATTAGGGTTTAAGCACTTCAGATTAGTTCTGATAGTAATTTTTTTTTCTTCCTTATTTCCTTTACAGTAGAGGTAAGCAACATTGTACTTGTTGCTCTGGATCTTAACAAATGGCCAAACATAGATGTAAGTAAGTGGGATTTTGTTAACCACTTTCTTCTGTTCCAGATGAATCTGTTATCTGGACTGATGGAGGAGTTGTCTTGGATAATTGGTTTTTTCTATGAGGCCTTGGGTTTGAAAAATTCTTAAAGTCTTGTCTTGATGTCTTTCCTCTTCCTTATGAATTAATTTGCTTACACATTCTGGATCAAAATATGTCAAATATCCTTCAAAAAGGAGAAGCTGAAATTGTTTATTATATTTCTCAAGGTTTTTAATCCCATTTTTTGTGGTTCCATAAACATCAGGAGATTGGAGACATAGATTTATCTCTGTTAATTTTTTTGTGGAGATATCTCAATTTCAAATGCAAAACATGAGGTTGCTGGGGAAATATCCTTTACATGGCTATTTTCATAGGGGGTAGTTTATCAGTTCACTGCTCTTTCCTTCAGTTCCTTATATTTTCTGTCAAGCAGTCTAGTTTTGCTGGTCTTTTCTATTCACTAGACATAAGTTTTTTCAGGAATGGATAACTTCTTTTGACCCATTTGTCTATTCAGTCTCTTACAGTTATTCATTTTACCACCAAGTTGGTTATATTTATTGGATGGTTCATAAGTAATCTCAACTCTTATTTAGTACCAACACAATATTTGATACATCTGGTGTTTTGAATCAAAAAAGTTCAAGAGACATTTCAGTGCCTCCTAGGTCTAGGACTTTCATGCACTTACCACCAAAGAGATCCTTTTTAGTTTGAGGATGGTGGCCTCAATTCATGTTTTCATTCATTTGTGGTGCACTCACAGATGGCATCTCCATTGGGACCTTGCTTTTTAGTGGCAACTAAATTCTCACCTGTTTTCATTTAGCATACCTATTTTTATCATCACTCTTGTGTTTCTTCAGTTTGGGTTGAACCAACAATTTATGTCATCGGAATGTCCTTTTCTTCTTCATCCTTTAGATCTTAATCTTTTCACTGATACTTCCTTTTTAGTTGAAGTGCTGTACTGGGGAGTCATTTTCATTGTGGAGTGAACTCATTATCATTATTAGTCAATTTAACAGAATTGTAAAATACACAACACCATGGATGGTAAGACGCAAGCCAGGATGAAACTTCAAAAGCTAATGTCGTCCAATGGCTATCTTAATTGGT